CCTTGACTTCATGATTTACCAACTATACATGGTTCACGCTAATTAAAAACTAAAACGTCACTAGGAAGAATTCTTATAACTTCGACACTGGTTAAATCGGCACCTGGTCAAATCGGCACATGTGATTGTTATTTCGGCACCTAGTCAAATCGGACTCTCGTTAATTCGACACCAGGGGTCTGTTGTTCAACTTGGCGTTAGACTAATCATATGATTATTTTTAACGAGTCGTTAAAAGTTAATCGCATGACTAGTAAATACAATGATTAAATTGTGTTGTTCGACTGATTGTAATCATTGTATTTGTTAATCACTGTAGTAATTTTTAATCATATGATTAATTTTGGCTAATTAGCAAGTGTTTCTTACAATGCATTGTAAATCAGGACCTATAACTTCCTTTTCTGTTTTAAATTATAACCTACTTCTTTTTACCCAGTTTTTGGGTGTCAAATATACATGATTGAATAAATATCGTATAACATGTTTATATTTGTATGGTAATATTTACATAGTTTAGATTCATCAAAATTGTCTGTTTGAGTTAAAATTAAATGTGCTTGAAGGGGAAAATGATTTAAGAAATGCAGAAATTAATGCATTCTGTTTAACAAAATGTGGTTTCGGGTACATTTTGCAATAATAAACATCTCCATTCACCCATTACTGATCATGACTTCAATGGATTAGGCCCAAAGTTTTTCATTTGTTTGTTCACAGAAGTTGTTATCTGAAATGATGGACCTAGGTGATCGTATAAAAAATCCAAAACAAATTGCATTCAATAGGTAAAATTTTATTTCTATAAAAAGTTATAATCTTTGTTCAAACTAGCTTTACCGTACAGCAACGGCTGTTCAAACTTGGAAACATTGTCAGTGTTTGTCCTCGGTAGGCTAATCTCTTATTAAAGTTGTTACCGTGTTGGTTGTATAGAGTTTATCTTTTAGTTTCGCGGAATTTGAGTCTTGATAGCAGATAATTTGCAGTCATTGTTAAATTTATTTAGCAATATGATGACGTGTCCTTCAAAAACCTGTAATTTCTGCTGTTCATTTAGTCCAACTCGCTACAGATTCCAGGTTATTTGTTTGATAAATGATGAAATTATTGTAATATTACATCCCAGGAATGTTATCTCCGTTGACGCTTTGGTGAAGAGTGCTTTCTTTCACGTCCGCATTTCTATCAAGTATGGCATGCCAAGATAACATTTTAGATGGTTGTTATGGATGGTGAAAATAAATTCAGAACTATGAACAATAAATAAATTGTTAATCATACGGCATAGTTTGTTTTTATCAAAATGAATTTACGACGTGTTCGTTACATTTATTAACAAAACCCTGAACAAGTATTTCATGCAGTTAAAAAACAATAAAAAAAAGATCAAATAAAACTATCCGAGACTATGATATATATTTGGTATCAGATATTCACGCGGGATGCGTAAATATAGAAATAGAAAGATATGATATGATGGCACATGAAGTAACTCTCTATATGTATACCAGAGACCAAATGATGTAGAAGTTAACAACTATAGGTCACCTTACCGCCTTCAAACATGAGCAAAACCCAAACATCATAGTCAGCTACAAAAGGCCCTGAAATGACGCTTTCATTGTTAAATAGTTCAAAGAGAAAACTAACGCCATGATAAATGTACAAAACAATAAACGAAAAACAAATATGATATACAGCAACAAACGACAACCACTAAATTGTAGGCTCCTGACTTGAGACAGACACATACAGAAAGATTAATATATACAAGGAGTGGGGGTTCTCTTCCTATATACAGATAAACACAGACGTCCCGCTGGTATGGGTAACTATTTTTGAAATGTCAAATATATCAATGGTATATAATTTCACGGAGGTAATATATCAAACTTATTATATGTCAATGTTATATGTTTTATTTTTCAAAATCACATTATCAGATAACGACGTCAAAGGAAATAAAATCGACGTTTTATTTTGACTCTTTATTTTGTATCGCAACTTTAACGATCATTACTCACATAACGATAGAATATTATATGGTGAAATGTATATGCTGGATACTATATGCTATTATAATGCTCAATGATGTTGCTGCAATTTATCGGACCTTGGGTTCTTTACCAGAGACATGGGAGAAGCAGTGTTCAGTTTAAAAAAAAACAACATATGTTGGTGATATGAATGATTGGAAAATGTTTTGCTTCCTGAAGGTACTAGTAATTGGCCCCCTACCCCTCACCTAACGCGGTATAGAACTTCTAGTGGCGGATTTTATAATTTGCATTGCTTCCCCCCCCCCCCCCCCCTAAATCAGCCTCTGACTTCTTTTGAACTAGGACCAGTATATCTGTTCCTGTTTTGACAAATCCCTGACTGTCTGAACTTAGGTTTTCCAAATTCTGAATAACAGGTGCTTGTTTTTGTTATTGTGTCAACTGTGAAAAAATAGTGAGACTTTTTATTCACTATATCTGAATATTATACTTAATCACTGACATAAAACACTTACTAGAGCAAATTTTCATCATAGATATTTTTATCCTCGTCAAGCTCATAATTTTTACTAAATGAATATAAATAGCGGTATGATAAAATAAAACTACGCAAAAATATTAATATTGTTTGGTCCGAGCTATCTGAGGGCCGAATTTCTCCATTTAAATTTACCTGAGCAAGCAGTTAAGTCAAGGGCGCTACTAAATGTGCTAACATTTGAACTATAAAAAAAAACGGGGAAATTAGCAAAGACTTGCTTTGGAAATCAATTATTGCCTGTACATTAATACTATTGTAACCATTATTATTTATAAAAGCTTGTTCGTCATAATCTGTTGAATGATTCCGCACAATAATGTTGCCCGTCTTTACAATCAACACTGCTCGGTAAGCGGTAACATACAAACGAATAACTGTCGATTTCTTTCTGTTATCGGATGACTATTATATGTATCCGTTCCATCCTTTACACTGTTTTGTCTAATCTGTTTCCAATTTATGTTTCAACTCAACTCCTAACACATCTATTGTATTGTTTTTTTTTTTTCAAATCTAAAGCGCTGTCATAGCTGGTCATTGCTAAAATACCTGTTCAGGGGATACATCTCATTTTTCGAGCACACTAATGTTCGCATTGCTACAGCAGCCATGTTTGATGTTTTAATCATATGATTTAAATTTAATACACCCTCATGAGGTTGATTACATTTAACGACAGTTTTAACATTTTTTACACCGCGTTAAAATCAACGAACAACACACTTATCATATGATTTATTTTAATACAATGATTTAGACATTTTTACGACTCATTAACACTAACGACAAGTTGAACAACAGACCCCAGTGGTGATAATTTTAGCACCCAAATTCAACATTATGATTTTCAAGTAAACTATTGAAGACTCCGTACTCCGTACATCGTTTTTTTGTTGTTTGTTTTTTTAATACTTTACTTTCACTCCTGGTGTCAACGTATATTAGTTGTGCGTAACAGAGGTTCCAATGAAAACTTTGTTATACACAATTGGGCCATAATGTCTGTCCCAAGTGAAACTTTTATCATAAAGGAACCTCTATTTCATGACAACAGCACATTACCAGAAAACATGGGCTACAAGATTAGTGCCAACGTTATTAATTGTATACAAGTAGACAAGAAATGCAGAATAAAAACAAAACAAGATAAAAAAAACTACCTGACAATTATTAAAACAACAAACGGGTTATTGTTGGTAATTGATATAGGTTGATACATTTTAACCAATGAAAACATTATTAATAGAGTATAGTGAAAACGCCAAACAGAAAGCCAACTGATTATTGTTAATTGTGTACTCTTATTGCTTAATAAGATGTACTGAGTTTTAAACGATGCACGAAATGAACTTCTACAATTTTAAGTTAAATTTTCCTAAACATGGCCAAGTTAGGAGCCTGTAAGTCAGTGGTTGTCGTTTTTTTATGTGTTACATATTTGTTTTTCGTTCAATTTTTGTACATAAATTAGGCCGTTAGTTTTCTCCTTTGAATTGTTTTACCTTGTTCTTTCGGGGCATTTTATAGCTGACTGTGCGGTATGGGCTTTGCTAATTGTTTTATGCCGTACGGTGACCTACATTTGTTAATTTCTGTGTCATTTTGTCTCTTGTGGAGAGTTGTCTCATTGGCAATCATACCACATCTTCTTTTATATATGAGGTCTTTGAGTCTAAGATGAATGATAGTTTATTAGTTGTTATTGCCTTTGAACTAGGGGGCGCCTTCAAACAAGTTTAATCCCGCCACATTATGTATGTGTCTGTCCCAAGTCAAGAGCCTGTAATTCAGTGGTTGTAATTTTTTGCTATATATTATACATGTTATGTTTGTTTTTCGTTCATTATTTTATACATAAATCAGGCCGATAGTGTTTTCGTTTGAATTGTTTTGAATTTATCATTTCGGGGTCTGTTATAGCTGACTCTGCAGTATGGGTTTTGATCATTGTTGAATGCCGGACGATGACCGTTTGATGCTAATTTATATGTCACTTGGTCTCTTGTGGAGAGTTGATTCATTGACAATCATACCATATCTTTTAATTTTTATATTTACAAAAATGTACATTTAATGCAAACGCTTAGTTTTCTTTGGAGTCATTACTGATTGCATTGTGACGTCATCAATAAGTTTTTCGTTTTACATTTTTTTAATCAAAACACACATGAAACGATATCGTATGATACAAGTTCAAGTCCGTTGCAAAGTTATTTTCTTATATTTTTTCAGTTAAACATCAATATAAAATCAGTTCTTATACCTGCATGTCTACATTGTCTGACGTAAAGAATATATTGTGTATGATGTGTTGTCAAATAATGTATAAAACGTTTATTTCAGCTTTAACCCTCGTTTTAATAACATCACTGTACCACCTGCATCACCTCACACAGGTCATGGGACTGATAGTTCACATTTTTGCTGCAATATTTGCTTTGAACTTACTGGGACGACCCGCTTTGCAGCTAGAGCAATCAGTTCTGGATCTGTTTCCAGAGTTTACTAGGTTGAAACAGGATATAAAGTCTGAACTAGCATTTATAAAGTCGAAGCTTCAGAGTAAGAAATGCTCTAATTTTTTAAGAAAATAAGGTTCCAATTCCTTATGACAAAATTGACCAGAGATGTCATCTGATTATTATTTTAGTTCATATAGCTTCCAACGGTTGTTTCCTTTTTTCACATTACTTGCTTTCAAATCATTAGGTTTGAGTTGAGACAAATTCAGAAAAGCGCTGCGTACTCAATGAATTTGTAAAGTATTTTTTTCAATCAGAATAGTAAGTTAATGGCAAAACTTTTAACGACGAATACACATTAAAATTCAGACCCTGAAATTAAATAAGCTTGATGACATTGAATGGTCAGTCAACTAGCATGTGGGTTATACTTCACACATCACAACTTTAATTACCCTTTCATACACAGTGTTTGGTAAATTGGTGTAAGAGCTACGTTATTATTAACAATATATATTTTACTTAAATCAACTTTTTCGTATATCTAGCAGAATAGCAACATTTCTCCTTTTTTAAATTATAGTTCTAATATGCAAATTTGAAACCCTAAGCAGATGCGTAGGACAAATTTAACACGTGTTACTGATATTTGATAGACAAATTTAACACATAGTTACTGATATTTGATAGACAAATTTAACACATAGTTACTGATATTTGATAGACAAGTTTAACACATAGTTACTGATATTTGATAGACAAATTTAACACATAGTTACTGATATTTGATAGACAAATGTCCCTTGAATGAATAACTGCTGGTGCATGTTTTTTTTTCCGTTAATCAACGTATACATAACACATAATGTTGATTAATTTGTCACATGAAATTAAACAACCGCCAATCAATCAATAATGTTTATCTTATCAGGTGGACAAGATAAGAGAGTTGCATTTCATGCAAAACTACAACCAAGGATTGCAGTTATGGAGCCTTCAAAGACAGTGGTATTTGATTACGTTATCACAAACACTGGAAGCGCTTATAACAATCGAAATGGGCATTTTACTGCTCTTTATGATGGAGTGTATTTCTTTGTTTCTACATTTCATTCGATGATGATATTTAATAGCTATGGTCTACACTTGCAAATGGTTAAACACAACTATGTTTTATTCCAAGCATCAGCTGGCGCAAGTAGTGATGGAAGCTCAATGAATGCAATAGTATCCCTAAAACGAGGTGATGTTATCAAAATACGGAATAATCCAATTCGTAGAGGAACATTTAAAGAAGGTATGACTTTCTTTTCTGGTTATCTTGTGTATTAAAACCTGAACACAAATAATACACGATTTCCATATGGTTAATTCCAAATTACTTTGATTTATAGTATTGTAACAGTGCAGAATTGCCAATGTCTTGATAAACTTTTGTGAAACCTGTTTTCAGTTATTGCAATTATGCATTCTCAAACATTACAAGACCTGGTATATAAAGGATATACCTTAGCAAATCATAAACGTCATCAACACCATTGCACAACTTTGACAAACCAGCAAAAACAATTTGCCCCATAACATATATGTTAGTCCAATAGACATAATAGACGCAAATCACATCAATTGTAAAATGAGTCATTGTAATATTCTATTAGTTCAATTTGCAAAATTGTTTCAGTAGACTATTTTCATACTACCGACTTTTGACTCCAAGTATATTTTCATTTCGACAAGACTCCTGACTCTAACTCCAAAAACTATAATTTGTTGACAGATAAATTATTCTGTGATGGTACATTGTGGTACTCGGTCAAGTGAAAGCAAGTAAAAGAAGTAAAATTAAATTTGCGATTGAAGAATTTTTGTCGGAAAAATTAACAGTTATCTTTTCCCCATACTTGATAAAATCATCGGAAAACAGTCATGTTTCCCCTTATTGTACTGACTGTAAGTTAATTGAACGAATAACAGAATGACCTACCACAGAGTAGTTAACCTGTCAAACTTTTATATACTCCGGAGTCAGAGTTAGTAATATGAACATATGTTATTAACTCTATTGTCGAATGATTCTTTCTAAACAAATAAAATATATGTCATTACAGATGATTGTTCAAGTGTCAAACTATAAGTACTTAACCTGATGATTAAAGGGTCCTCACAGTTCCACAATGCAATCAAAGTGATTAACCTGCTAATAAAAGGATCCTCACAGTTACACAAAACGAACTCAATTACTTACCCTGCTAATAAAGGATCCCAACATTTATACAAAACCAAACTCAAAGTACAATGTACATACTCTGCTAATTAACAACTCTTCACATTTACACAAACAAAAACTCAAAGTACTTACCCTGCTAATAAAAGGATTTTCAGAGTAACATTAACCAAACTCACAGTACTTACCCTGTTAATTAAAGGATCCTCACAGTTACACCTACCGCACTCAGAATAATTACCCTGTTAATAAAAGGATCACCACAGTTATACAAACCAAACTCAAAGTACTTGCCCTGCTAATTAAAGGATCCTCACAGTAACACAAACCGAAATTAAAGTACTAACCCTAATAATTAAAGGATCCTCACAGTCCCACAAACCACACTCAACATGCTCAAAGTACTTACCCTGTTAATTGAATGATTCCCACAGTTATACAAAGATAACTGAAAGTACTTACCCTGCTAATAAGAGGATCCTCACAGTTACACAAAACAAACTCAACGTGCTTACCCTGCTAGTTAAAGGATCCCCACAGTTACACAGACCAAACTCAAAATACTTATCCTGAAAAAAGAGTCTCCACAATTACACAAACGAAACTAAAAGTACTTCCCCTGCTTACTAAGGAATCCGCACAGCTCCACAAAGCAAACGCAAAGTACGTACTCTGCTACTCAAAGAATCACCATAGCTACACTTAGCACAATCAAAGTACATTTTATAAAATTAGAAATCTAACTCCACTACACTTAATATGTGTTAATATTAGTTTGAAGGCGGCAATCCTCCCCCTAATATTGTGAATGTGATATGTTGATTCAGTGTGGATCTACATAGTGGGTTATATAACAGGAGATGGAGAGCACTTACCCTGCCGACTAACAGGTTTTTCATCCTTTTGCTACTCATAAACTACTCAGTTTCTGTTGTATGCCTTGATTTGTATTCTCTTAATAGATTGATAAGAATTGAACATCAGCACACTACTATTGCCTAAATTTGATATCGATCAATGCACTTAGTACGAGTATAACATACAGCGATGTAGTTAACAGTAAAGGAAGACAATATCTTAAAACACGTCTAGAGAAAACTTTGCAGATAAACAGTTTTGCTTTTACATTGCGACTTTTTTTTATTTTAAGAACAGATGCAGTGAAAAGTAAAGTAACACACATACCGAATTGAAAACGGAAAGTTCTTTATAACATGGCAAAATCAAAAGCTCAAACTCATCTAACGAATGGAAAACAATTATCATATTCCTGACTTGGAACAGGTATTGCCGTTTTTAGAAAATGGTGGGTTAAACCCGGTTTTATAGCTAGCTAAACCTCTCACTTCTATGACAGTCGCATTGAATTCCATTATATTGACAACCATATGTGAGCGAAACAAATAGACATTATAGGAAAAAACGTAAACAATTGGGGTACAGTAGTCAACATCTTAATCATTATAAAAACAAATAACTGTTTCAACAAAGAACACAAAAGGGCATGTAGACAAAGTGCATAAAAAAAAATAAAAGACATGAACTCAAAATTGACCATAGCACAATTACATAATGGCGGGATGTATAAGTACCAAGCCACGTAATAAGTATATAATAAAAAATAGACTAAACAGTAAAGGTTACAAATATACAAGGACAATGAAAAAGGAAACTTTAACACGTAATTAAGATGATAAACAACGTCAGTACCTATAATCTATTCTTCAAGACCATTATGAATTATTTGTGATGTTATACGGAATATTTATAAAGACGGTCTTGGTATCTTTCAAGGAACTATTTTAGAAAAAGGACGAGACGTTCTGCGACATAACTTTGGCTCATTAACTTTCTGCTCAGACACTGATGACGTTTGATAAAGTCTAAGTAGCAGTGGCAAGCTTTTGAATAGCAAATGAGTTGGGAATGAATATCCCATATGTAGGTGAAGTATATTGCTGCCAAGGTTGGGAAAATTTATAATTTCAAAATTAAAATCGTCTCGCTTGTCATAGATTCTGGTATGGAGATGACCGATTATGTCAAATTCGAGGTATAAGTCTTAAACTGAGTCAGAGGAAGCCGTGTCTGGTGTTTCTTTAATTTCTAGTTATGGAGGATATGTTAATGGAACCCAATCAGATAAATGTGGATTAATATTTATTAATTCTTTTTTTCTTTAATGGTTGAGCTAATTATATTGTATATACCAGTGAATACGCTTTTTAACTGGTGATCAGGCTTTCTTCAATCGTTTTTATCAGTGACTTCGCTTAGTTAACTGGTAATCAGGCTTTCTGCATCGATCGTCCGTTAAGATGTCGTTCTTCATATCGTTATTCATTCGGTTAACAATTGTTTATCCTGTGCGGACTTGTATTATCTTTTAGCTTTTCATTCATCGTACATCAGGTGGTATCATATAATATAATATTGCATCTTTTCGATTCCAGTTCAACAAGAATCTAGAGTTATCGAATTAAGGACACGATTCAATGTTATATATAGAGAAAAGAACAACAGTCTTCTGCTTGATTTAGAAATAAATATCTACTGGAACAAATGTTTATTTACATTGTGATTTCCGATAACAACATACCACTTGTCTCTAGTATGTTTTACCATATCAAATGTCCGGATTTTTTTACATTTTTATGCGAGTTAGGCTAACGTTTAGTCAGAAAAAACGAAGTAAACCAATTCCTTTGGTATACAGTGAAATTCTATATTCCAAGTCACACTATTGCTTGTTATGATAATAATGTCATGCTGGTTGAACATCGTGCGCTTCGTAAATATTTCTAATCAAAACACAGCAGCGACGGAAATCTATTATTTTTAAATGTTCTATTTTATGTTTTTAGGAATGAAGGTTTTTGACTTTGAGGGTTTTTCCCTAGACACTTACTAAACTGTGTGCAATATAACGAGCACAATTGACGATGTTATAATGTATATATATTACTCTATTTATCGTTATTCCATGTTTTTTTATGCGCAAGACGTTTGTAATATTGTTAGTTAATCATTGGTGCGTGACATCATTATTAAACACGTCCTTCAATGTGTGTACGTAGAAAAACCCTGAAAGAAAAATAGAATTTTTGCATAACTTGCCGACTTGTCATCAATCGATAAGTTCATGACATGAACTTTTAGGGACCAAAATGTATAGATAATTATTCTGAAACTCTTGTTAGCAGTACACATCTTAGACTGACCAAGCCATGCTGTCAGATTGTAAGGCGGTCGCATGATAACCTAAATGCATTTGTGTCGATTGATCGTATCTTCATAGATATAAGAAGATGTGGTATGAGTGCCAATGAGACAACTCTGCCTATAAACTAAATTTTAAATATTTTACTTTGCAATACCAATAAAAAATGTCATTGTGAATTTAAAGATCGACGAACAAGTGTTGAACTGTTCATCTTTATGACTTTTAGTTGGTGTCGGTTTAAGGTAGGACTTATATGTTTGTGATCCTTGGGTTTAGCTGTACAGGAACACTCGACGAACACGAGTTGAACTGTTCATCTTTGTGAATTATAGTTGGTGTCAGTTTAGTATAGGACTTATATATTTGTGATCCTTTGGTTTAGCTGTAAGGGAACACTCGCCCACCTGTAAATGTATCACAGATTCATCTGAATCATTAAATACAAATTTCCTGTTTTCAAAAATATGTTTGAGAGAATATATCTATAATTGATTTGAAAACATGAATATTTGCAATGAAATCTAAAGTTTAATATTCATGTACTGTACATATTATTTTGGGTTCATAAAGTGTCTGATCATACAACGCCCGTTAGTGTCGTTGAAAGTGTGTTTTTTTTGTAGATTCTGTATCATATGTGCAATATGGAGAGTTGAACAAAACATCGTACAGGTATATTAATAAATAACAGCATGGTACACCTAAATAAGCAATATCCAATAAATAACAGAAGACGAACATTTAAGAAGATTGACTTGTTTAGAAAACAGGATTGCAGTGACGGAACCCAAGGAAAAACACAAAGACTGAAAAACGTATCTCCACAAGGTGTCAAAAATAGTAGATAACAAATGTTAACAATTACCCTCACAAATGAAAGAACAAATGAAAGAAACCACGTGTGCTATCATAACAATAAATCGATAAAAGACAACCAAGTCGTAAACTCATGTGCCACGAAATGAAATAATTTTCTAAATCTACTAGTTGGTCAATAATT